AACCACCAGTTCGGCGGGTTCGGGGAATAATGATATACACCGGATTGGCAAAAACCTAGTTTTTGCAAGAAAAATCGACATGATGAGAGACCGGACGGTGAAGCGCGTGAATGGGGAGGCGCAGAGAGCAGAGCGCTTGGGTTGAAGAAAGAGAGGAATGAAAGAAAGATTATGGACAAAAAATAGAAATTAAACCACACACTGTGAGAGCACAACTAGCCCCAGAAGACAGATCACATGGTTGCTAAAGTTGAAGATGAATGCCGGAAATATGTGTGGGTTATTTCTTGTTGATAATTTTTTTTTTTAATGATTTCTTAAGAATCGGTTGTATGTGAGGCGGACCAGCATGTATTATATATGTTAATATTCATCATGTGTATATATTGTTTCAAATCAATCTGAATCAGCATTTATTTGGCGCAAGCGCACAGAGGGTACTAGAGATAAAGCGGAATCTGATGTTGTTCGGTTGAAGAACCATGAAGCAGATAGATGTACGTATGTGCGTGAAGTCGTATTTGTTGCAATACTGACCAGAAGAAACTCTACCACCATTCATCAAAGAATGCGATTATTTTTGTCTGCGAAAATATGAATGCTATGTACACTTACGATTGATTGTACGGGAAAAGCCGATTGGATTGGAATCATGTGTCACGGAGTCAAAGAGAATTTGAGTGACCTGGTCACAAATCACTCGTCTGTTCTGGATGAAGGATGGTTTGCAAATCGGTGAGGGCGTGCGTGACAGGAGGGGGTGGGGTAATGTACAAGAAATCACCAGCATCGACATCTATGCTGAATGTTTGCTTGTCAATGTGCATATCTGTTTTGGTCAATCACGACTATGTACGTCTCAGACCCTGTTGCGCGTTGGCTCCTGGGAAATGCGGAATTCTTGTGGCAGTTGGTGCTCCTTCTAGGCGAGCGCCTCCTCGAATGACAATAGGAGTCTGTTGTGGATCTGAACGAATTTGCGGAGTTTGGGGACGCAACCCGACATGGGCGTGCGGAGTCGCGGTGCTCATCGGTGAAATCGCGACACGTTCAAATCCCGTGCTACTTTGTTGAGGCACAGAATTAGTTCGGTACTGATTGTACGAAACACGTTCTTCGCCATGATATCGGCTGTCAGAACCGATAGCTTGGGCTGGGACGCCAGTGTAACGTTTGTATGCACAAGGCGAATTGGTTGTTGCCACAAGGCTTGTGGTACTTTCTGCGGTCGATAAGGTCGGATTGGATGAGGTGCTTAGAAAATCAAAGGAAGATTTACGATGAATGCCAGCACTAAGGGAACCATTTAAACCGAAATTCATGCCCACCGGTCCATGACGTAGGGCTAATTGGCGTTGAACACGTGCCAAGGCTGATTGATAATCCAAAAACAATTGGCGTCCGTACTGAAATGAAGACATCAGTGACAAAAAAGTAACCGAAAATGCTTCGTGGTGAAAAACAGGAACAAGCGAGACGGTGAAAATACTGTACCTTTGAAGTTAACAAAATAGGTCTTCTGCATACCAAATGGAACTCCCATAGCGATCTGAACCGGTTAAGATGATGATTAATAACAATTCACTGGACCAATCCATGGTTAGGCGTGATTCTTTTCAAGCCACCTTTGATGATGACCGAAAACCGTTCAAAACACCTGCTTCACAGACAAACATTTTCACAGTTTGATTCATGCGATACGTACTAATGCTCACTAAAGTGGATTTATTGAGCATATTACTTAATTAATTTGAGTAACAAGAAAATACTTTATTAAAATAGCGGTTGAATAAACTGCAAAAGCCCAATCAGTAATGAAATGCAACCGAGTAAAATATATAAATATCGTAAAACCGGTTTAGCTAGGCTATTCTCTAAAACACTGTTTATGGTAATATACTGATTTATTCATTGTTTTGGGACAACATTTCCTCAATTATTCCGTACCAGGATGCTTACTCAGTTGGTTACATCGATTTGGAGCTTGCTTCACACAGCTCTTATTGATATTCGTGCACAAATTAATGGTTTTCGACCCAATTTTTGTTTATCGTAAACAATACGTTGAAGATTAATAATTCCTTATATTGACTTCATCTACTTCTAAGCGAATTCGTTAAGTTACACTGATAGCCTGCACAAATTTTTCTTTAATGAAACAAGAGTCAATCTGAAATTAATTTTTATAATAAAAACGTTTCTTACTATTCTATTTTGTGTCATTTACTAATTCTTAGAAAATGCATCAAGACTGAAGACAAATAATTTACCAACAATCGGTTAACATCGAAAGCGCACGTTCGGAGAACAAGGATTACAGTTTTCTCGCTAGGTGAAACGTTTTTATTAAATGTTTTGCTACATTCCGTAATGCGCTGTAACACTCAACAGTCCCAATTTATGCTAATCAGCCTATAGGATTATTCCTATCGAACAGTATTCTGGGCTATATCTGGCTCAAACTAACTCCAATAATGTTAAAGTTTTACGCCTTCTTATTCTCAGTCTAAAACTGTTTTACATTTCACTCACTATTTCCACATTGGACAACCAAGATTAGACCCCGCGTTTTGGTGCGTAAACACGGTGACAAACAAAAATAAGGCCAACCAAACAGATACCTAAAACAAAATCGAGAAAAACCAAAACGCACGAGGATGCACGTGCCAGTTCCGTTGAGTCAGATAGCTTAAACGCGCGCACGCACACACACAAAAAGCAATCACGTAGTCAACACGCGTAAAACGAACTCACCTTGGCTATCCGGAGTCGGGCAACCCAATTGCGTAGCGCGGTCTCATCAGTGGCACAAAAACAGAAGACGTGGGTTGAAGCAGGATCTTGTGCTGAATAAGGCTGCGGGGAACGATTGTATATAGGGGAGCGCATTAACAGCAGCAAAAATGGTGAATTTCAGATACAGAGTGTGCGAGAAAGAATTGCAATCGGAAGACAATCATTTGTAGTTTATGTAAACAAACTGTTCTTTGCCATATATTTTGCATTTATTTAAATCGACCATTATCAGAAAGGGAATACGAACCGGAGAGTTTCCGTTTTAACTAGCTGAAGAAAAAGACGCATCTAACATGCTCATTGAAACCGAGCAGTCGAAAACAATGCATGAATAAACAGGGTTACCTTGAATGCGAAACCATGTGGGGTGGGAGCTCTCATGCGTGTCCATCCTCCCGTAGTAGTGTACAGTTGGAGATGACTGTCTAGTACGAGAATTCTAATTAGATCGGTTGGCTATGGGTATTATGGGAAAGAGAGAACCCAAAAGGGAAAAACGTTTGATATGAGCCGCAGTCAGTAGATTATAATCCGAGTATTGTAAAAAACAAAGAATTTTATTTAGAAAATACAGCCGTTCATTAACAAAATCTTCAGCAATATTAAATATTTAGTAAATCAGGTTTCACGCAATCTAATAACTCTGTATTAAAGAGACAGACAGAAGTGAAATAATAACTGCGAAAAATGTTGAATCTCACGTTAGCTGTGAACTACCTGCACGCCCAGCCGGGAGAAAATTCTCTTTCTACTCTTCTCAAAAGAGACATAAGTTACCATTCAACTAACATGGCTCATTTGATTTTATAACTAAGGTTACTAAATGGATCGGAACAGTTTTAGTGGGGATATATGTTCAAGATGACTGTTGGGTTGTAACAATATTTTAAGGTTCAGTTGTTGGACAAGCCAATCGATGCACTGCTTGAGACTGTTCCGTTTATCTTCCTCGTGTGTCTAGTAGATCTGGGACGGCAGTTCTGTCGGAGCACCATTACACGTGGATAAAATGTGTCATTTCCGAAAACAGTGCACAAAAGTTAATATCCCGTTGGTTTGAGAGAATATATACAACAAACTGCTTCAATGTGTGAGCACATGCATCTAACAAAATGGATACGAAATTTATGACAGTGGACAATAGAACAGTTTGGCCCGAGAGAGTTTATGCTCAGCCTAAGTAGTGAAAATGTTTATCTCAGTTTGGCCTCTTCCACCGTGCACAACTTAACTCAAACAAAAACTCACGATCGTTGGTTATTTCTCACTCGTAAGGTTGTGTAAATCATGGTGAATGTTTTTCCTCTATCAACAAACACCGCGCTGTTATTACATGTAGATCTCATGTTGTTTTAATATCCTGTCATCAGGTTATATCCTCCAGTTTAAGTGATCTACCAGTTTTGTGAGATTCACTCTGGAGACAACGCCTGTCGTATTAGGCATGGATCCATCACTGTCATCATGCTTGAAAAAATCCCCACGCGGTGAAAGGAAACCTAGTCGATTGTGTGGAGTGAGACTTGGAGCGAATGTACCCTATCAAACCATAGAACATGTGCACCGGACGGAGGATGAACCGTGAGTACCAGATGATAAGTTGTGTGTTTGCGTCTGTGTTCGGCCTGGTTGATTGTTGGTTGGCCGGGGGGGGGGGGTTGATAAAATAGACACACTGATTGAAAATGGGGAGCGCGGAGTGCAGTTTGTTCGAATCAGCTGTGTGCTGTCGTCGCCCGGATAACGCGATATTACGCATCCGGTCGACAACCGGGAACAGTGTGTTGGAATGGCTCGAGAAAGTTCACACACGCTCGGGCGCATGCTTCTTGTGCTAATTGTCGTGCACCGGACACCCGACGTTGAACTGAAGTACTATAATGACTATTATAGTCCATTTAGATGCATTATTTCAGTGATGTTCTTCCACGTTTGAACATCGATGGATAATGTTTCTGTTAGATTCAATGACTGGAGTTTTTTAATTCTTTTTAAATCTATTTCCAGAAGATTCTGTTCGCGTGTTGTCTAGGTATAGAATCGACAGATTTTTATTTACTTACCAACATGATATGTGGTTCAGTTTGAGCTTGACTACTAAGCAAAAGAGGGTTCCCTAGTTGGGAATACCTATTCACAGTTATATCTAAGTATATGGATAAATGTGCTAAAGTCAAGTGGCTTTTAAGAAATTTCGATCCAAATTCTAGTGAATTCTTGATAGTGCTGAGGTTGATGTTTTCAGTAGATTAGATGATCGTCTCCAACGGCAGTTCGATCAATCAGTTCAGAGATCGGTGTGCACATGCAGTCAGCCGGGATGCATTTAGGCTGGAGGGATTCGATAGAATGTTGAACATGTTACTAATGTCTTTTCAAAATGATGTATGTTACAACCTGTAAACAATATGTAATCAGACACACTGATTATGTAAGTCTCTCACACCACCCCCATTCTATCAGGGTAGAGTGAGTGACCCACGATGTTGTGACGAAACCCCACTATTGTTGAAGCTACAAGTACAGCATACATACCTACTACAAGAAGGAGCAGACAGAGAAACGCCGCATCAGCTCCAACAGAGACAT